CAAGGCTGCTTTTAATTGTACAGTAAAAAAAACAACAAAAAAAACATGCCTGATTCAAGATGGCCAAAAATTATTATTTTACTAACTTATTAATTTTAAGTTTAAATTGTACTTTGTTGGTATAGTGTCTGCTAGAATGTTAAAAATGTTCAGTGTTAAATATTTTTAAATTGTTTTGTAATTGATTTTTGTTTTTGAAAAGCAAGCATCCCTATTTATATTGTAAATAGGGATGCTTATAGGGATGCTCTGTATTTATTTACAGAGGTATATTATGTCACACTTCACAAGTAAGTTTCGTCTGTGTGTGAAGACAGTAGCGCAAATCCGTGAATGAATTGTAAGACTTTTTAATTTAACTCAATTTGATACTGAATAAAAAAAAAAACACAAGCCAATAAAATAACCACACTATTATTGAAAGTAACACAACATTTTTGGACAGAAAATGTATTATGAAATATCAATGTTATTATTATTTTTTTAATTATCAAAATAATGTATAGTCCTACAAAGCTATTATTTTCAGAGCATAGCGGGGAGCAGATCAGTGAAACAGGGTATAGCGCCATTTTACCAGCGTTGCCATGTTACAGCACAGTAGCGCTATTGCAAACAGGTTTACTAGTATAGTACAGAGAACTTTCCTGTAGGTGCGTTATTTGAGCGGACTTTGAGCGGTACATGAGCAGAAGCACATTCATAGAGTGGAATATTGAGCTGAGCTGAGCATTGTGTTCTTAGTTCTAACAAAAAGAGTTACGAGCGTGTAGAACAATCATTGAGGTGCATTGAACAAAAACTTGCAGTATTTTGAGTGGTATTGTGTAGATGCACCACTGACTGACACCTCAGATTGGTCATTGTGTTCAGTGCTCGATTGGCTTGATGCTCAATGCTGTTATACACACACACATATATATATATAGTTTTTTTTTTAATTTTTTTTTTTTATCAAGAAAAAAAAAATCTCTCAACTAGCCTAATGCTGTAAAATATACCTGAGAGTCAATGATATGGAAGGTTGAAATTAGCTTATTTATATACAAACACTTAAAATATAATCAATAAAGTTAGAATACTAACGTTAACTTTAAATTACACAATTATATTTTTACTCCAATTAGTTTTTTTAAATATAAACATTTAAATGGTGGTTGTCACAAAAACTTGACAGATTTATTCAAACATAAATTAAATATTGAAGAACGATAAAAAAATTATAATAAATGTTATATGGTGCATATTTAGCAAGATGCTCCTCTCGAAAGTTAATTGTTCTAGCTGACTAATGAGTTCATGGTCACCGAATGTTTTTCTGTGGTAAATGTGCAGTTACGTGACATATTGGTTACAAGCTATTGTCTTCTTGACGCGTTTGAAACACTGATTGAGCGATTGATTACATGAGACAGGATACGGATTTCGGTAAGTTGTACTTTTTCTTTTAACATGCCTTCGAATGTTCATTCGTGTTTATTTCATGCTGTAGCTGCTATTAAAGCGGAGATGATCAGTTCGCGCTGCCGCTTCTAACCAAGGTGCTACAGCGATCTGTCACTCCACATTAAACAGCACCAAAACGGCATTTAATATTTGAATACTGTAATAAAATGGACAGAATTTGAAATCTGAGAATCACAAAGCTTATTACAATTTATTGGATGGGAGGCGTGCTACAATGTTCCGTTGATTAACTGACAGGCTAGACTAATCGATTCGTGGGATTTATGAATTGATATTGTTTCATAAATATGAGAATCGATTAAAATCGAGAAATCGATTTTTTTTACCCAGTCCTAACATTTACCCATGTCATTTATGAAGAATAACATCTAAAACCAATTGAATTCATTGACATGACATCCTCCTGTTGAATCAGTTGAGTGTCCGAAAAGCATGCCACTCCAAACTCAGCATCTATATGGTCACAGGGGTTTCTCAATAATAGCATTAGAGGTTTGGATCAGAATCATCCACACTGCAGTCTGTCAGA